TTTCAGGGGGTCCGCTGGGTCTTTAAAAGTATTAAAAATTGATATATAAATTTAGCGAAAATTAAGACTATTAAAAAGTATTAAAGGGCATTTTCCAAGGTATTACATTTTGTAGCTTGTTTTCAATAAGTATATAAATTGTCCAAAGAGGTTGTATTCTACAGTTTGCCTGAATGTAATCATTGCGTAGGTGTGTAGTGTGATTCTGTAGTTTATTGATGGCATCCCGTTGGATTGGACGTCATCTGAACAGGACATCGCACGCTCACTGCTTGATAGCGCGCGAAGGTCCGTTTACGCCGGTTGTTAAACAACATCGTTATGGGGAAATGCAAGTCTACGTCCAAATGGTTGGAAGATAAGGAGGAAGGACAATCAATACTGTATATAGTCAATGTGAGGTGAAGTGTGTCGCCAAGGTAACCGGTTAGAACTCAAAGTGGAGATGAGGTCTTAAAATGTATGGAAAGGGTCTTAAAAGGTTTTACATTTGACTTCAGGATTCCTGCACTAGCACCCCCCGTTCTCGGATACCACCACAAGTATATTTCAGATCTGTGGGAAACACGGAGTTCTCATGTTTCATTATTATAATTTTGTTTCTGTTATTGTTTTACACATTCAAAAATCAAAACAATAAAAGGGTATTTTTGTTTCACAGCACAAGAAAGGAGCTAAGAAGGAAATGAAGATCCCCCCGAAGCAAAAAGTGTCAGAAAACGAATCAACGCCGCAGAAATCCAGACTGCCCCTCCGCTCTCAGAACTAAAACATTTAAAATATATTCTTCTTAATCCATATTATCATCGTCTTTCCTATGTTGGTTTTATGTTTGTATTTTTGTCTTCTAAATATGAATTTGTTGTTTTAGTAGCGTAGTTGTCGACATTTCCAATTAGCTTGTAGAATTAAAGAGATTTTATACTTGTTTTTATACTTTTGTGATTTATTAAAGGTGGGGTAGGTGATTCACTTCAGAAACATTATATTCCATGAATGCTCTTGACATCCCGATAGCAATGATGAAATGCTTTGACAATAAATATATAAAAATGTCATCTGTGGAAGCCGTGGCGCTGTAAAAAGCACGACCAATCATCTGAGCCGGCCCGGCTAAAGTAACTGGATGGCCTACCTGCCTGTCAGCCTTCCATCTGTGCACAAACTTATCTCGTGCCCTCATTGGTCATGTGCGCGTTCGTGTGTGTTGGAGGAGGGGCTCTGTGAGGAAGTCTGAAGGAAAGGGCAGATTTTTTTTCAGCTGCGTACTTTCAAATTCTAGCGCACTCGAGCTGGTTTCTCCATTCTTACCTACCCCACCTTTTAATTCCAATAGAGTACTAGGGGTAAAGGATTCATCATGTTTGATGAAAATGGAGAACTAGGAATTGCCGAAACTTTTTGGAAAGCGAAGCAACAGGATCTTTCCAAATACCTACATTGCAGGTTCCTCAACAGTGCAATTTACAAGACATAAAAACAATACAAATAGTGCAAATTTGGTCAGGATGCTCTCTATGGTGCACCGGTCTAAGAGGTAGCTCTTAAATAGGACAGACATGTTTGTTTCCTTTCTCAGAGTACCAATAAGTAAGATGCTGTTCAGGGATTCTTGTATAGAGTGAAAGCACTTGAATCATGAATTTATAGTACATACATTCGTGTTTGTGAACAAACGAGTTAATCAGTGAACTATTGGTGAGATTCGCTAGGTGTATTTCTACACTTTGAACAAAGTTGGGCCAGTTCTCCAAATGTTTAGGACAGGGCTATTCAATTAGTTTGGAATGGGGCCGGTTGATGAAAATGATCCAAAGCAAGGGGCCGGGAAAAAGATGGCTTGAAATATGAGCAATCATTTGAAGAGCTTCAGATACAGTAAATACTACAACCGCATAGTGGAGTGCATGCATTGTGTTTAATGAAATCAAACAACATAGCCCCAAGGCCTTTAGAGATCTAAATGGCTCAGAACTCAGTAGGCCTACATGTGAAGCTCATTTAACCGTCAACATCATTTCATTTAGGTGAAATGATCTAATCATTCACGCAGAGATGCAATCAATGACAGGAGGTGTCACTACAGTAGCTAGTAGGTGGGTTCCGAGCCCGCAGAAGTTTTTAGGCAATGTCTTCCCCTCTATCTCTCAATGTAACACCCTCTCTGGAATAAAGGCACAAAAGTAGATTACTTTTTAACATTATACTCAAAGGGCCAGTCAATATCACCCCGGGGCCGGATTTGGGCCGCCAATTGAATAGCCCTGGTTTAGGAGATGGAAATTGATTTTAGAAAATCACAATCCCCCAACCCTACTCTTTTAAATAAGGAGCCTATACAATGTGTCACTGAGTACAAGTATCTTAGTGTCGTGCTTGACCACAAGCTCCGATGGGATGTATGGTCTGCGAAAGTAAATGCTAAGTCTCAACAAAGAATGTTCTTTTTACGTGAATTATTGTCTTTTAATGTCAGCAACAGAATGGTTAAGATGTTGTATCATGCTTTTATTGAAAGTGTGCTCCTTCGGCATCAGATGCTGGTTCGGCAACGCCACTGAGGCACAGACAAAGTCAGTCCGGAGGGCCGTAACATTGTCCAGTAAATTGTCAGGAATCTAATTTTCTAGTCAAGAAAGCTTAGTTTTAAAAATGTGAGTGACCTGAGGCACCCTCTTGCCTCTTATTTTGAACTGTTGCCATCCGGGTGGAGATATCGTGCCCCTCTGTTTAAAAAGAACAGATCTAGGCTTTCTTTCGTCCCACAAGCCATCAAACTCCTGAATCAATTATGGCTAGGACGCACTGTTTACCCAGCTTGCCTGGCCCTGTCCTCCCCCTCTGGCAAATGAGGTACTAGGCCCCTTGTCATGTCTACTAATATTCGTTGTTTTGAATGTCAGTTCTTTTTAATCTGTCTATGTTGTTGTCAGGGACATATGTTTTATCTTTTTAAATGCCTTGTGATGTGCTGCAACCGGCTGCAACCCATTTTCTCCTCGGGGACAAATAAACGAATACTACTACCTGCATTTAACTGCCACGGAAAGACTACATATACACCAAACTGTTTCCCAAACAAAATACCTTTTTTAACGTAATGTAATAATACCAAAGTTGTACTGTTCTGTTTCCCTGCATACTTCATACTTATATCACATAAGAGTCACTTATTGTACTTTAACAGCACTACATTTATTTTAAAGCTTTACATACCTCCCAGATTAGTACACAATAGTCACCTCATGATTTAAATTTACAAATTAAGCTACACAAAGCATATACAGACATTAAAATGCACTTTTACTAGCTGCACAAAAGTATCTCTTATCATATCCCCACCTCTATAACACAATGTTGTAATATGTAGTATTATGAATGGGCTTCTCGGCAAACTAGTTTTGGTCCTGGAAAACACTTGGTATGTGACTACACCCTGCATTAGATCATTCAAAAAACATTTGCATTTGGATAGTCACACTTTCGGTTCCTAGCTTTGACTGGTGTTACGGAAAATAACGTCCTCCGGTCAAATATGTTCCAGTGTGACCGGAAACAGACCTACAAAAGAAGTAATTTACCTTACACGATAAATACAACAAATGTATATTTTGAGTTACAAATATTAAGAGTCCTTTCTGCTGTTTTTAGCCTATTTGTCCCGAGTTTTGGCAACAAATTGTCTTGAAACGAGTGGCTTTTCTGCCATACTCGGATAAGCAAAAATGCTGATGAAGAAACAATTCCGATCCATTCCGGTGTCAGTACCATATGTGCTCGGGCTACCAGATCCATAGATATATATACATATAAACACGTTTATATATATATATCTGTGACCAGATCTGCTCGGGGTCCGTTACGCTTACCAATGACGTCACGCATTGGCTGTAGCAATAATTATATAATTATATAAACATAATGTTTACACTGGTGACATTTACGGGACACAATTCACTGGGTTGTATAGTATTGTAGTTATATAACTATATATATATATAGTTATAGTTGTAATACTATTCTAGCTTGTGTAGCGTGTATACAAGATCATCCTGCTGACTCCCATAATTTAAATGATCGGGAAATTACGTTGTAATGATAATAAATCACCTCCCTCATTCAGATTAATGTCGATTGTTATGTTTGAATGTTAAAAAAGAACAATCGACAGTGTTGTTGAGCCGATGAATGGGAGTTAAGCTAGAATGACAACACAACACAGGTGCACTCACTAACTCTTCCGTGGTGCAACACACACTATACAACCCAGTGAATTGTGTCCCGTAAATGTCACCAGTCAGTGTAAACATAATTATGTAAATAACCCAATTTGTGTTCTGTGAAACGGAAAAGGATATTACATTGTTTTTGTTACTTTCGTTGCAGTGTCTTAAATGTAATTTAAGTTAACTTCCTGTTTTTTTAAGAAATATTATTATTACCTCTTGAGTTGCCGTACAGCCAATGCGTGACGTCATTGGTAAGCGTAACGGACCCCGAGCAGATCTGGTAGCCCGTAAATAAATGTTGGTGGTGACATAAAGACAACATACTACATTTTTTTTTAAACGCTCTCTCAAACGTGAAGATCCTGAATAAGATATTTGATTTAAGTAAAAGTTTAAAAGGAGTAACATCGAAATATACTTTAAGTAGCCTATATTAAGTCAAAGAACTCATTCATATCTATATAATATTATCTTATTATAGTTAATGATACATTCAATTATAATACATATTATTCTAAGTAGAAACACACATAGCTGCTAGTAGAGAAAACATATACATTTGGTTTTATTTAAATATATTTTTACAATCTGTTTCTACTTAGAATTACTTTGAGTATTTAAATAGTTGTGCATGTTTGTATTTTTACAATATGCTGCTTTATTATAAAACATAACAAATAAGTCCCTATTATCGAATTTTAATCAGGCACTGTCTTGGAAACCTACATTACAATGCATGTCTGGGGCCCCTCCCTTCCGTTTCCTCCTTCACTTCACTCTCTCTCGCGTTGACGAAGGGTGTGGTGCTACTCGGTGTCTTCTTGGCGGCGAATTGACGACATTATTGATGTATCTGTTATGAACATCCGTAAAATCTTGTATTGATCCGTGGACGAAATGGAGAACGTGTTGGTGGTTTCTCTGCTGGTGTTGGCCTCTCTTCGCCCTGCTTCTACTGAGGAGAAGTTCATCAAGGAAGGCGGTAGCGTGACGCTGGACTTGAGGCCTGCTCCTTCCGATCCGATCATCATCATCCAGTGGAAGTTTAAAGATGGTATTCTGGCAGAATGGGTGAAAGATGTGCTTCCTTTGGCCCATAACAGAGAACACATCAAACTGGATATAGCCTCTGGACGTTTAGCTATGGAGAAAATGACCAAAGCGCACGAGGGTGTGTATTCAGTGGAGGTTAACAACCTAGTGCAAAAAGTGACATACAACGTTGTGTTTATCAAAGATGTTCCCAAGCCGGACATATGGGTCGCCCCGCTGACATGCAGCCATGAAAGTGACCAATGTACCCTGAGCTGTGAGGGGGACACCACCGGGGCTGAACCCGTCACTTACAGCTGGAAGACCGACGATGGAGAGTGGAAAGAGTCGAGGAAAGACATGCCCATCACCAAGAAAGACCATGGACAAGTAAAGACCTTCACCTGCAGGATGAATAACTCAGTAAGTGAGGAAGAAAGTGATCCATTTACAAATAGACTCTACCCGGAGAAAAAACCACACTCCACTCCTGAGCCTGTTATAGGCTTCGTTGTAGTCTTACTTTTGGCGGTTGTGGTTGGGGGGGTCGCGTGGGTGATTTTGGCAAGGAAATATAAGAAATGGCCCTTCGAGAAGCGAAACATCGACCCTGAGACTCCAAATGGAAATGATGCTGCAAACGAAGCGCTTTTGAAACTGGATGCAAAACCAGGCAGCCAAGTAGGACCTGCAGGAGGAGCAGAACCTTCTAATACATCACTGGATCAAAAACCAGGCAGCCAAGTAGGACCTGCAGGAGGAGCAGAACCTTCCAATACATCACTGGATGCAAAACCAGGCAGCCAAGAAGGACCTGCAGGAGGAGCAGAACCTTCTAATACATCACTGGATCAAAAACCAGGCATCCAAGATGAACTTACAGGAGAACCTGCAGACCCTCTCAAAGCATCACGTGAGGGAAACCCTGCAGAAGGAGAAGCCGATGCTAAACTGTGAGCTCTTGTCTCCTCTGGCAGATTGCTATACCTGCAGACATGTTGGGAAAAGATGTCCATATGTTTTTGCTTCACATGAGCTGTGTGTGTTTTTTAGCTGTGCGTCCTCGACTGTTACACGCACCAGAAGGATTGTCATACTGTCCAGTGTCCTCCCCAAAATAATCATTTGGTTGTACAGCAGCATGAAAACATGATTTATATTTAAATATCAAATGCAAATTCACAGCCTGTTGTTAAAAGAGACATTGTGTTATTGAACACAAATGATATGAGAGGACTAATGTATGAACTTTAACAATCAGCCATCTATTTTCATAATCCAATTTGAATTTGTACAATTTTGTAGTTATTTGAATGCTACTTCAAAGTTATATTTGACTTTCCCTGATTTTTTATTATTATACATGATATCTATGTCGCTTTGGATTTGTGTTAATCGATCATTTCCCTCAAAGTATTTAGTGTTTGGGTGAACGAGTGAAAACATGATTTAGATGTTAATGTGTGTATGCTGATAAGAGCGTGGCGATATTGCAACAAAATATCTGGGGGAAAAGATTCTATCGGACACACATAGACACACACACACAGACATAGACACACACACACATAGACACACACACATAGACATAGACACACACACACAGACACACACACACAGACATAGACACACACACACAGACATAGACACACACACAGACATAGACACACACACACAGACATAGACACACACACAGACATAGACACACACACACAGACATAGACACACACACACATAGACACACACACACATAGACACACACACACACACATAGACACACACACACACACATAGACACACACACACAGACATAGACACACACACATAGACACACAGACATAGACACACACACACATAGACATAGACACACACACATAGACACACACACATAGACATAGACACACACACACACACACATAGACATAGACACACACACATAGACATAGACACACACACAGACACACACACACATAGACACACACACACACACACACATAGACATAGACACACACACATAGATACACACACACATAGATACACACACATAGACACACACACACATAGACACACACACATAGATACACACACACATAGACACACACACACACACATAGATACACACACACACACACACACACAGATAGACACACACACAAACAGCAACAACATATCTGAGAGAAAAGATTCTGTCGCTTTTAAAGATAAAACGATCAACGGGAAATTATTTGTTTTCGTCTGAAAAAAACCATGAAATGATGTTTTCACGTTTTCACGTTTCCTAAATGTGTGAATTTTATGCTTTTTTTGTTGTGATCCACGACAATCAACTGGATCATCGATAATGAATGTAATTGATACTTGCAGTCCTACGATTTGCATGCTATAATTTTCTCTACAACCACCTTATCTTTTTGTCAATCTATCAGAATGACAAAAAAGCACTATTTATCAGTTATTGTGTATCTAAAGCAGCATTTTCAGTCATTTTGGCATGAAATAAGTTGATCAATACTAAAAAAATAGTATTAAATATTATTTGTCTTGGGAGTAAGGGAAGAGGAATGGATTGAAGTACTCAATGACATCCACTCAGTGTCAAATCATATACATTTCAGTGTGCAGTTCCTAGTATTACTTCTTAAGATCCACCATACCCACGTGTTCGTAATAACGCCCTCCTCCAAAAAGAGACACTCAGCAAAATGTGAGGCTTTTTAAAATTGAAAACTCAGTGCCTAAGTTCCTTCATGAAATGAGGACTTGAGTCCAAGGAGCCGAAGCACTTAAAGAAACGCACCTTTGGCACGCCGTCCACTTTTAATTAGACGTTGAAGACGAAGCTTCATTGAATGTACACTTTTTGTAATATACATGTTTTTGTTACAAATTAGATTACTTTTGATATCTTGATGCACTTGTATTCTGCTTTTTTTTTTAAATGTTTGGATTTCCACGGACTTCTAGAATTGGCTTGCAAAAAAGCATTTATCTCCATAATTTTTTTAATTTATTTAGTTAGCATTTATTAAGTTGTTATTTGTTTATATTCAGTGCCTTTGTGAATAAACGTGAGTCTTGCTAAGCAATCTGTTGTTTTTTATCGAGTGACCCCTCCTCGACTCCTATCCTCGTACATGTACAGCGACCTTGGGTCCCTTGAAAGGCGCTATATAAATATCATTTATTATTATTATTATTATTAGTCCCGCCCACAGGAGATGCGAGCGGAGGAGTCGAGGAGGTGAACCGAGGAGAGAGGAGGTGAACCGAGCAGGCGGTTAGAGAAATGAGAAAGGGCCATGGAAGCTGACCTCTCATATCTGCACTCCACTTTTCATTCTGCACATATTTAATTTTTAACATACATTTGTCAACCTTACATCGTTCTTTGGTATGTCTCTTTTTCATGTATATATTGCTCTTTATTTTAATGTTATAATAGTTGTATTTTTAGGTCCTTTTTCTTACAATTGATCTTCTTTCAGAATCAGAAATGTACGTTTACACATACAAGGAATTTGCTTTGGTGGTGCCAACATAAATTTGTAAGAAAATAAGCTGTACGAGTAGGTCAACAATATAGAAACATGTATTTCTAATAAACTAGACAAGTATTTACACCAAATTGAAATGTACAATAGAACCTAAAGTCATAGGACAATTCATATATGATGATATTTGACTGTGTTTATGTATGCACCATATACACCAGGAGAAATTCCTCCTATATGTTAACCCCTTTAGATATACAGTCTGTGTATGTATACTATAACACCCCTATAGTACAGTGTCATAGTATTATTAACATAGTAATACTACTATAACACCCCTGTTGTTTAATACTACTATGTGCAATTCAGTATATACCATAAATGGATGTGCACCTGTATTTCTTTCACTTGCGTTATCTCAAACTGTTACTGGTATTTGATGTGTGTTTGATTATATGTTGCATTGTTGGAGGAGCTCAGGTCAGAATAATTTCATTGCCATTTCTACACAGTAGCTTTGACAACCAAACCTTTGAATCTTGAATCTTAAATTGTAAATAGTGTAATTTTAACATGTATCTTTAATCTTTTGTTGTTGTTGCATACTTCTTAATGAATATCAAGCTATCTTTGTCTCTCTACTTGCTGTCACACATGTACATGTTCTCCTCTGAGGGACGAATAAGGACTGAATAAAACAGTTTCTGATACTGAGCAAGACGAACCCGGAAGTGAGTGCGGATTTCTCTCTTGCTCTGTCACCACTCACACAGGCGCACACACACCCCTTTCTTTACTCTTTGTTAGTGGTGGTGGTGACGCTAACACACAGAGAACCGCCTGGCCGTCCAACCTGGGATGGATTTAGAAGAAGCTTTTCAAGTTGTCGGCGAATTTGGACCCTACCAGCAGCGGGCGGTGGCTGTGCTTGTTCTCACACAGGTTTGTGCATTAAAACAAATATACATTTATATGAAAACAAGCAGCAGTGGCGGAAACTGTCTTTGCAACAACAGCGGGTGAAATAGCGCTACGTGGCTTTACAAGGGGGCTTTTAAAACCTTTACATCTTGACCAAGAAAATACAATTGAACTGTGAGATAAATGCAACATGTTTTGTGCCTGCAGCTGTTGCTTATAATTAACCAAGCTCACTCTGCACGACAGAGAACTTCATTTCGAAAAACTGAGATTTTAGTGTTGCATGGTTTATCTGTAACTTTACACAAAAAGTTGCCTTTAACTAAACATTTTTTTAATATTGACTTCTTATTCTTTAATTCGGCACACAATACAAAGCTTGTTTTTACATACATGTATTGTATTGAACCTCTTTTTTCAACATGACGTACAGATGAGCAACACATCCGGGTACTTTCACACGAAGTCCAAAATGTTTACATATGTTGTAAGAACAAAGGCCAAACTTAGGCCAAAGTTATCAGAAAACCCACTTATTACTACATGTTTTTGAAGTAATTCCCCACGTAGTATGTATTGCATGCCACCATTACCAAATTGAATCGCCAACTTCCTCACAATGAACTTGTAATTAAAGAAAGTTGACATTTAATTAAAGAAAAATAGGTTATAGCCACTTCAAACATGTCCCGAATTTATTGCAACAAGCCACATATTAAAAAACATCTTAAATTCATTTCCCAATCGCACTGTATTTGGACTTATACCACATTTCATTGTAAATATTGCATTATGCAAATGAGGTTTGGCAAAGTTTCCCTTTTGGTTAAGCCAACCCTCCCTCTCGCTAGTGGTTGTTAAATTTCACAATGACAAAAGTTTCCATGATGCTAAACTGAACACGGAAACAATAAAACATTGAATTAAAGACCGGATATTATAGCATTTATTTAAGAGTGGTTAATTGATAATAAATCATCCAGTTAATAATGCAGTTAGCCAGCATTGTGGTAGATTGACATCCTTTACTGAAGTACCTAAACTACACTTTGAAAACACTACAGTGAAAGTCATGAACCTTCCCTAAGTAAAAGTATGTTAGTATTAAGATTATAGGATGCACTGTATGGATCATAATTTGGACAATTAATTAGATTTTGCATCAGCTGGTTATCAAGGGTTTATCACAGGAGTACATTTCATTCATTTTTTTGAATTGATCTCATAACTGTACAACTTTAATCTCTTACATTTAATGTTTTTTGGTTAGAATGCATCCCCCCTTTGCTGGTTAACAAGTGGTTCAATCATAGCATCCATTTGTTGCCCATTGCAGCCATTTGTATGGAGCTCTTCTGCATTATGTACTGTCTTTACAAATACAGACAAACAGACTTAGTTGAGGAAGACAGTTTCTTCCCCAGAACAATAATTGCACTAAACTCCAGCTTGCACTGACACAATATATATATATATTTTTATTTTTGTATACACATTCAAACCTATTTATTTTTACTATGTCATAGCCATTTCTACTGATCATAATTCCATTGTTGAGGTCTACTAAAATAAATGTATATTGTGCAATGTTCCAAACTCACATTGGTTTCTCATACAGCATCTCTGTATAGTATGTGTATTCACTCTCTGTCCTAAACGGCTTGTTGGAGCTCCTGCCCCCCCCCCCCCCCCCCCCCCCCCCCCCTGTGAGCCCAGTGGCTGTGTGAACAGTGAAACCCAGCCCCAAACACACACACACACCCGCAGCCTGGGTGGGAGTTTGTGTGTGTGCCCGCGGTGTCTCGCTGTCTCGCAGACCCCACACCTGTGAGCCAGCTCACAGTGTCCCGCTCCTCGCAGCAGCGAGCCTCGCAACGTCCCGCCGAGTGTGTGTGAGGAAGTCCGCGGATTGGTCCAAACGTAACGGCTCCGCGGACGTAACGTAACGGCTCCGCAGATTGGTCCATTTGGACTAATCTGCGGAGCTGTTACGTTACGTCACTATACGTCACTATACCCGAAATACGTCACTATACCCAAGAATTAAACAATGGAAAAAGATAAATGTCCAACGAGGCGTTCTGGGGCAGCACAGACAGGTCTTCTCTGTGTTAGAGTTTTACTCGCTACAGGGTGCACTTTGAGGGTTTGTGACTCTGCAGACCGTTTACATGCAGACAAAGCTACATAACACACAAGGGGACGGGTGATAACTGGAAAAGCAGGACATGGGACCTTTAAGCCTATATATTCCTGCACTTTAACTTTATCTGCATATTGAAGTATGAATGCTTGTTGTTTGTATGTTGTCTTCTCCTGAATGCTGTACGTCTCTTTGTTTGTTTTTTGTATTTTTGATGGCACTTTAAAAAAAAGGATTAGATCTACTCATCTCATTGTACCTTAATGACAGGATTCTATTCTACTCTATTCTACCTGTGTTGTCCCAGGTGTATATGGCCTGTCAGTCCATGCTGATTGTTCTGGTTGGATCCACTCCGGAGTATCGCCTCGAGCCTCAGGACGGAGATTCGTCCGGCCTGCAACGCGTGGTCTTCACCGAGGACATCGACTCCATAGTGACCGAGGTGAGAGAGACGGAGATCACAGGCATTATCCATGAAGTACTGAAATAGTTGAATATATATCACTGTATCACAACCAGATAACCTGTCAATATTTCAGTCTGTGTGTACAGACCGCTTCAATAACCCGAATACAATAACAAAGATATATAAAACGATGTATTTCAAGTCGTGTTTTTGGTGTTATTGCATTTCAGTTTGGCTTTTTTAATCATTCAAACCCACTTACCTTTCTGTGTCGCTGTGTGCACTTTAATTCATTCTGCAAGCACAGACATTAAAGAAACCAAAGTACCAACTGTGCATTATCAGTTTCATCCAGAAATAGTTGTATATGTATCTCCGTCTTTCAGTCAGCTTTTAGTATTATCATGTTGTATTTTAATGGTATATATATATCCACTTAACATGAGTGTTCTTGATAGTTATGCATTATTTCCAGTTAAATACTTATTTGCTTAGTTATTGTCTATCGTTTGCTATTTGTACTTAAAAAACTGCCTTTGGATTCAAGGTATACAATCAGCCATGTTTGTTTGCATACTGTATGAAAATAATAGTTTGTATTTTGAGCAAAACACACAAAAACAGGTCAATAAATACACCTTTTTTCTCGTTTTGTGGCAGTGGTTTCTGGTGAAGCAGCAGGCCTATAAGGTCAGTCTCGCCGGGTCGCTGTTCTTCGCCGGGCTTTTGTTCGGGAACGTTTTCTTCGGGCCTCTCTCCGATAAGATCGGCAGGAGACCTGTTTACCTGACAGGTGAGGGAATATTTATAATATATTTAATACATTTTATATATTTGGCACCTTTCAAACACAGTGACAAAGTGCTTTCTGAATAAAAACACATTTAAACCATGATAATAGTTCATTTAGATTCGATGTATTGATCCCGAATTGTGAAATTGTTTTGTCAAAGCAGCAGCAGATTAACGAGGCGTTTGACATGAGTTAAAGGTCACCTATTATGCAACATCCACTTTCTCATGTCTCTTCTACATCAACATGTGTCCCCTCTTCTTCATGTCTCTTCTACATCAACACGTTTCCCCTCTTCTTCATGTCTTTTCTACATCAACATGTGTCCCCTCTTCTTCATGTCTTTTCTACATCAACATGTGTCCCCTCTTCTTCATGTCTTTTCTACATCAACATGTGTCCCCTCTTCTTCATGTCTTTTCTACATCAACATGTGTCCCCTCTTCTCCATGTCTCTTCTACATCAACATGTGTCCCCTCTTCTTCATGTCTTTTCTACATCAACATGTGGCCCCTCTTCTCCATGTCTCTTCTACATCAACATGTGTCCCCTCTTCTTCATGTCTCTTCTACATCAACATGTGTCCCCTCTTCTTCATGTCTCTTCTACATCAGCATGTGTCCCCTCTTCTCCATGTCTCTTCTACATCAACATGTGTCCCCTCTTCTTCATGTCTCTTCTACATCAACATGTGTCCCCTCTGTGGAAAGAGACTCTGAAAGTTTCAGGAACAAAGATTCTCTCTCTTTTTGATCCATTTCTATAAAAACCTGTCTGAAAATGAGCTTTTTAGATTTTGGCCACTTTATGATGTCATAACGTTTTTTGGCTTGTGTAACCATTAGCCAATCAGCAACCAAGGTAACCCCCCCCCCCCCCCCCCCCCCCCTTATCACCTGAATCTCCTCCTAGAGCACCATTGAGTTCCTTTTAACCAAATGTCTCTCAGAGGGGCGTGGGGAGGGGCTCCTTATTTTCATCTAAAGTAACAGACGGAGAATCAGCACTTTGGAAACAGGGCTGAAACAGAGGGGATTATGGGTAATGCTGCAATGATCTGTTTGGGGTTTCAGCCAATCAGAGACAGGCTCTGTATATATCTGAGACCTGTGATATATTGATGAAAAACAGTATAATAGGGGACACATTGTAAAACAAACTAAATGTAATAAAGCAAACGTAAAATCACAGAAAAGCTACAAAACAATTGGGTTTTTAGAACTATAATTTCACGGGAAGACTAGGGGTAGTAGTGGAATTCCTTTCATGTAAATGTATTTAATTTAATCTCTTTCTCTTCGTCCCAGTTTTGTTTTTCGAGGTGATCTTCGGTTATGTCACGGCCTTCGCTCCGAGCTACGAGGTGTTCGCCGTGTCGCGCCTGCTCGTCGGTTTGATGAACGGCGGCATCGGCCTCGTCTGCTTCGTGCTCACTCAGGAATACGTGGGGAAATCCTACTGGGCCATGACCGGTACGGAAAACACCAAAACAATCCCATCATGCATCACACACACTTTTTTTCACCTGCTAATTAAGCGGATCATTTTTATTTGGATATATGTCAGGTGAAGAGACGGGACCATTTGCTGCTTTTCTTCTTAGATATACATATAACTTGAATATAACTTGAGCTCATTGATAAAACCATATTGGATTATGACAGGATTTAGTTGTGATCAATCATGTGTACGACGTGACATAAGGGCCATGATTTTTTTTTTAAAACATGACGTTACTAGAGGAAGGAGGTTAAAGTGGTAAATGTATATAATGACAAAATCATTGGAAAATAAAATCCAATATATGAACCAACCTTGCAAAGTTAAGCGATTTCGATTCTTGTAAAATAAAATTCCCGCCTTATTTTTTGTACTAAAAGTCGTGACTTCATAATTCCAGAAGAAAAAAAAATGCAGGAAATGTATTTCTTTATAATCCCAGGAAAAACTCAAATTATTTTCTCTACATTTTTGGCTTTCTCGTATATTTGCCACTGTAACGGCCCGTCCACACAGCGGCGTGCGTTGAAAGCTTCACCATTCACTTTGAATGGGGTGACGTCACTTTTCGCCGAAATGCATTGCAGCGTTGCTGGCGTGGCTCGCTGCAGAAGTTGAGCAATGTTCAACTTTTGAAGCCTCGGCAGAAGCGTCAGCCAATCGATTCATATGCCAGTACAAGCTCTAGCCAATCAAACCGCTGCTTGTGTGTCAGGGGCGGGAGATTCATGTGATTGGTTATTGGTCGAGTTTCAGACACGCCCCCCGGGAAGCTTCAACACACGCCGCTGTGTGGACGGGCCGTAAATGTGACCGTTTAGTCCCTCCCCATGGCCCCTCGATGTATTGTCGAGCGTCCTGAGGTTTCTTGAAAGGCGCTCTATAAATCCTAGTTATTATTATTATTATTATTATTATTATTAACCTTGGAAATTCAGAATAGTTTTCTCAGAACATTACCCTGCTATTCTATTATTTTGTATATTTTTTTGTTACCTACAATGACCCTAGATTCCTAAGAAGTGGGACTGTTCGCTGCCGTTTGCTTACTTTAATATGGAGTTTAGTGATATAATACTAAACTGTCCCATTGTTGATTTTGCCGTGCCGCTGTTACAGTGCAGTCCCTCTAACCACAGAATTATCCTTTTTTTATTTCCTCCTCAGGGACGTTGACCAGCATAAGTTTTGCAGTCGGCATCGCCCTGTTCGGAGCGCTGGGTTACTTCATCCGGCCGTGGAGGACCCTGGCCATCGTGGCCAACTCCTCCGGGGTCCTCTTCTTCCTGCTGTCCGTGTGAGTAAGACTTCACAGAGTGTTGGGAAAATACTGAATGTACTCTCTTCCAATATCAGAGTCCACATGATAACAAAGGTATCCCAACTGTAGCTGTGTACTTGACAGGATGTGTGATTCCTTATACCTTCTCCCCCTTGGACTGATTTTTAGAAAATATGGCGTCTCCTACCACCTTTATGCGGACGACTCCCAATTATATCTACCCCTAAGAAAAAACACTAGCTCTCTGATGCCCCTGGTTGACTGTCTTAATGACATAAAGGCCTGGATGGCGCTAAACTTTTTAAATATAAATGAGAGCAAAACGGAGGTAATTGTGTTTGGACCAAATGGTGATGTCCCTTCCATTGACCTGGGTTCCCTGCAACAGTTTGCAAAACCCATGGTCACAAATCTGGGTGTCAAAATCGACAGTGCTTTTAAATTAGATAAACAGATAAACTCTGTGGTTAAATCCAGTTTTTATCACTTGAGGCTCCAAAATTAAACCGGTTTTATCCTTTTTAAACTTTGAGCGTGTAATTCATGCCTTTGTTTCAACTCGTTTAGATTATTGTAATGCACTTTATGCCGGCCTAAATAAGATTTCGCTGGCCCGCCTGCAGCTTGTACAAAACGCTGCGGCGCGGCTGCTTACAACCCGCAAGTTTGACCACATCACACCAGTTCTGGCTTCGCTCCACTGGCTTCCTGTCCATTTTAGAGTCCATTTTAAGATTGTATTGTTTGTTTTTAAATCTCTTAATGGGCTGGCCCCAGAGTACATCTCCGACCTCTTACAGGTGTACACCCCCTCAAGGGCTTTGAGGTCGGCTGATCAGCTGCTGCTTGTAGTCCCAAAAACAAAACAAAAGACCAGGGGAGACCGAGCGTTCTCATCGGTAGCCCCCAGGCTCTGGAACGACCTGCCCCCTCAGGTTAAATTGTCGCCCACTCTTGAAGTTTTTAAGTCCCGCCAAAAAACCCACCTCTTTTCCCTCGCTTACCAGTCAGTCTGAGCTATGTCATACCTATTTGTATGCTTTTACTGTCTGTCCATAGCCTTTATGTGCCTTGTATTTATTCTTATGTGTGCTTTTTTATCTTTTCTTATGTGTGCTTTTTATCTATTCGTGTAATATTATATTTTATTATAATGTTATGTTCATTGTGAAGCACTTTGGCAAACCCTCTGTTTTTAAACTGTGCTATATAAATAAAGTGGATTGGATTGGATTACCTAGAAGAGCATCAGGACTGTTTGAGGCATATGATAGCTCTGTGATTAACATGATGATTCAGCCTCTATGGAGAGAGACATCAAGCATGCTCATTTCTGACGTGGAGCTAATCTGAAGTAAACATTGAATACTGCTTTCTATTCCTCCATCTTGTGACTGTGTAACTCCCTCTCTTGGATATCAGCATGTGAAGGACACTGTTCAGGAACTAGTTGTACCAAATGCTCTGTATGACTACTTCCAGAATATTGAGAAAAAGTCCGAATTTTTAGGAAAAGTCAGATTTTTTTTATTTTGAGAAAAAGTCAAGATTTTGAGAAAAAGTCAGAATTTTTAATAAAAGTCAGATTTTTATTTTTTTTATTTTGAGAAAGTCAGAATTTGGGGATTTTCAGAACAAAAAAAACATTTTGCGAACAAACATTATGTATGATAACCTACAAGACCCGGTATTCCTCCATCTTGTGACTGTAACTCCCTCTCTTGGATAACAGCATGTGAAGGACACTGTTCAGGATCTAGTTGATGCTCTGTATGTGATGACTACTTCCATTCTGGAGAGGATCACAGATACATGGATCCTGAGGTTGAAGCTCAAGCCGGGGACCAGGGAGATTTTTCTAACAGAGAGAGAGTTTATGCAGCCACATAAAACCAAAACAAAGACACGTTTGTCCTCTTGTTTAACATTTGTGCTGACAACCCTTGTTTGCTATTTTAACTCGGTTCAAGCACACTCTCCACGATAAAGTTATTACACCAGATTTCAAAGCAAAAAATATAAAGAAATGCTAAGCACTAATTAATGCAAATTTTTATTTTGATGCATAATAAAACATTTTTACTGCACAGAAATGAATGGAAACTGAAGGAGAAAATACAAAAAAAAGTGACTTATCTGGTTGTTATAGAAATTATATAGGTTTTTATTAGGGGTGCACCGAATGGGAAATTCTTGGCCGAAACCGATACCGAAAATAGGAAACAGTTGGCCGAAAACCGAATGCCGAAAGGCCGAAAATTATTAATAGAAATATATATATATATATATATAATGTATACATTTTTTACCAATGTTGTTCAGCTACCTGATTATGGAAATAGACATGATTATGGCAAAACTTAACTTAAATAATAATCACTATTATGGGTCCATAAAACATTTATTCAGCACTTTTGAATGCATAGAGTACATTTATATATGTCATGTATTATTGCTAAAAAACATGATATCGCAGTCTTAGTGTCGCCAACTCGTTTCTAATATGCAAAGACAACAAATGCGTCTATGATGTATTTTCGATCAGACGAGATCTCTCTCCCGTCTGTGTGCGAGGGGGGCGGGGCAGTTTACACACACGCAGCTGCTACATGCAGCGGAGCACACTGCGGAGATGGCGGAGAGAACGCGCTCCGAGGTGTGGTTAAACTTTACCCGTCTCGATGTGGAGAATACTTGTTACCATAAGTGCAATAAGAGTTTAGCATGTAAGCACGAGCAATTTGTCTAAACATTTAGCAAAAGTGCACCGCATGCAGACGGAGGAATGTACCGGGTTCGACCGTCTTTCTAGCAGCTCTGTAGCTCCATCACGAGTAACGTTTCCACGTCAGGTGTTATGTATGCTAGCAGCAACACACGGAGTTAACTACATGATACAAACATGGGTTAATGATTAGAGGAAACTGAGTTATTTAGTTTGTTAAAATTTCAGCTATTCAGCTATTAATACGATTTGTTAAAGGCTCAGGGCAATCTCGATGACAAAGGTCAATGTCCCCCCCCCCCTGTGAGTCAGCCGCGAGCATGGTCGCCGCGTCTTTATTACGTCATCACAACAACACGTTAGGTTACCAACGTAAGCCTGTTCTGACATTCGGTGATATTTTTCCGGTGCTAAAACCCTTTCGGCCGAAAGCCGAAAGGGCCTTTTTAACCATTTTCGGCCGATAATTTTCGGTGGCCGAATATTCGGTGCATCCCTAGTTTTTATTGAGAATTAGCCACTTTTAAAATTACCTTCACGTTTCTATCATGGTTTTTTTTCTTCTATAAGCTGCTGTTGTGAAGTTGTACATATATTAAAACCCTACTTTCTTCAACTTAACATGCAGAAAGACGTGTTTGTGCAGATCCATTAATCTCTCTCTCTCTGCAGAAACCTCCCAGAGTCTCCTCGCTGGCTCTTCTCTCAGGGTCAGACCGACCGAGCTGAAGAGGTAAATACACTCCAATAAATCTGATATATGGGTCCGTTTTAGTGAATATAAAACGCTCGTGCTGTACGCTGTGTTTGAACCATTGAAGGTAAAACAAAAAGGGAGAGGGATAGTAGACAATACCTTAAAGGAAAAGTGGATTATTTTCTGATTCAAGTGTTAAAATTATCATAAACATTACAGTCAACAATGTTAGTGTTTTCTTTGTTTTTGGCAAGGACCCAAAAGGCTTCACTTTGCAAAGTCAGATCAGATAATATTTGTTTATCTCCCTTCAATAGTGAGTTTTTATTACTTTAATTTCAATGGATGTGCAAGTCTTCTTCTCATGAATTTACTGATGAGGCAGGAGAGTAATTCTTACATAAAACCTTGGTTACCTTGGTTGCTGATTGGCTAATGGTTACACAAGACAAAGCATCGTTATGACATCATAAAGTGGCCAAAATCTGATCAGCTCATTTTCAGACAGGTTTTTATAGAAATGGATCAAAAAGAGAGAGAATCTTTGTTCCTGAAACTTTCAGAGTCTCTTTCCACAGAGGGGACACATGTTGATGAAGAAGAGACATGAAGAAGAGGGGACACATGTTGATGTAGAAGAGACATGAAGAAGAGGGGACACATGTTGATGTAGAAGAGACATGGAGAAGAGGGGACACATGTTGATGTAGAAGAGACATGAAGAAGAGGGGACACATGTTGATGTAGAAGAGACATGGAAGAAGAGGGGACACATGTGATGTAGAAGAGACATGAAGAAGAGGGGATACATGTTGATGTAGAAGAGACATGAAGAAGAGGGGACACATGTTGATGTAGAAGAGACATGAAGAAGAGGGACACATGGTTGATGTAGAAGAGACATGGAAGAAGAGGGGAACATGTGATGTAGAAGAGACATGAAGAAGAGGGGACACATGTTGATGTAGAAGAGACATGAAGAAGAGGGGACCACATGCTGATGTAGAAGAGACATGAAGAAGAGGGGACACATGTTGATGTAGAAGAGACATGAAGAAGAGGGGACACATGTTGATGTAGAAGAGACACTGGAAGACGAGGGGACACATGTGATGTAGAAGAGACATGAAGAAGAGGGGACACATGTTGATGTAGAAGAGACATGAAGAAGAGGGGACACATGTTGATGTAGAAGAGACATGGAGAAGAGGGGACACATGTTGATGTAGAAGAGACATGAAGAAGAGGGGACACATGTTGATGTAGAAGAGACATGAAGAAGAGGGGACACATGTTGATGTAGAAGAGACATGAGAAGAGGGGACACATGTTGATGTAGAAGAGACATGAAGAAGAGGGGACACATGTTGATGTAGAAGAGACAGAAGAAGAGGGGAACCATGTTGATGTAGAAGAGACATGAAGAAGAGGGGACACCTGTTGATGTAGAAGAGACATGGAGAAGAGGGGACACATGTTGATGTAGAAGAGACATGAAGAAGAGGGGACACATGTTGATGTAGAAGAGACATGAAGAAGAGGGGACACATGTTGATGTAGAAGAGACATGAAGAAGAGGGGACACATGTTGATGTAGAAGAGACATGAAGAAGAGGGGACACATGTTGATGTAGAAGAGACATGAGGAAGAGGGGACATATGGTGATGTAGAAGAGACATGAAGAAGAGGGGACACATGTTGATGTAGAAAATACATGAAGAAGAGGGGACACATGTTGATGTAGAAGAGACATGAAGAAGAGGGGACACATGTTGATGTAGAAGAGACATGAAGAAGAGGGGACACATGTTGATGTAGAAGAGACATGAAGAAGAGGGGACACATGTTGATGTAGAAGAGACATGAAGAAGAGGGGACACATGTTGATGTAGAAGATATATGATAGGTCCCCTTTAAGGTAAAGCAAAAACATAAGGAGGAGCAAGGAGATAGTTGACCAATAATATTTTTCTAAAGGAAGAAAGTGGGATATTTGCTGATTAAAGTGTTAAAAATTATAATAGAAATTACAGTTAACAATGTTAGTGGGTATTTGTCGTGGCAAGGACTCTTTTTTATGTCGGATCTGATAATACTTGTTATTTTCCCTTCAAAAGTAGGTTGTTTTTTTCGAGACTGAAGTCGTGAATTTATTGGAGAAAAACCCAAGATTTGAACCAATCACAATATGCTTTATGCCACAACTAAGTGCTGTAAACCATGTTGACGTGTTTATAAAAATATAGGCAAGAACGAGAATCTTTGAAACATCTGAAACTCTTTGATAAAGCTGCTGTGATATGTTTCTGTCCGGTCTTTTAAAGGTGTTGCGCTACATAGCTCTGAGGAACGGAAACCCCTCTAAAAACCTGACGCTGCGCCGCGCCGCTAAAGGCCGTAACCATGGCAACAGAGGAGCAGGGGTCTTGCAGTTATGGATCCATCCCGTCCTCCGCCTCAGGACCATCGTGCTCATGTATGTCTGGTGAGTGTTCCTCCACCACAGAAGAAGAAATAAACACATGCATCACGGGGCTGAAACGGCTCAAATCAGAGCGGTTACTTCCACTACTTTAACTCAAATATTACTACTAGAAATACTGTTGCTTCGGTCATTTTTCACTTATACTTAATGTCATTTTCTTTACATTCAAAGCTTTAATATAGGTTTTGATGAAGCTGGTTTTTGTGTTTTGGCCATTGAAGGTAAAAAAAAGTCAAGGGCTGATATGCCAAGAAGTCTTTTCCAAGAAAAACATATTCTCCATATTATTATATTATTATTATCTGATTTCTGAAGTTAGATCAGATAACGTACCAGCTTTGAGAACACTTTAATGATCAATCATTATAAAACACATCATATGCAGTTGCAAGAAAAAGTATGTGAACCCTGTGGAATTACCTGGATTTCTGCATAAGTTGGTCAGAGGAAGCCACTGCTGTCCACGTTTGAAGGTTGCAAAAGAGCACCTGGATGTTCCACAGCACTACTGGCAAAATATTCTGTGGACAGATGAAACCAAAGTTGAGTTGTTTGGAAGGAACACACAACGCTATGTGTGGAGAAAAAAAGGTACAGCACACCAACATCATAACCTCATCCCAACTGTGAAGTATGGTGGAGGGAGCATCATGGTTTGGGGCTGCTTTGCTGAAAAATGAATTCTCAAGTTTATCAAGACATTTTGCTGGAGAACTTAATCTGTCCACCCATTGAAGCTCAACAGAAGATGGGTGATGCAACAGGACAACGACCCAAAGCACAGAAGTAAATCAACAACAGAATGGCTTCAACAGAAGAAAATACGCCTTCTGGAGTCTCAACCATCTCAACCCAATTGAGATGCTGTAGCATGACCTCAAGAGAGCGATTCACACCAGACATCCCAAGAATATTGCTGAACTGAAACAGTTTTGTAAAGAGGAATGGTCAAATTCCTCCTGACCGTTGTGCAGGTCTGATATGCAACTATAGGAAACGTTTGGTTGAGGTTATTGCTGCCAAAGGAGGGTCAACCAGTTATTAAATCCAAGGGTTCCAGCCTGCACTGTGAATGTTTACATGGTGTGTTCAATAAAAACATGAAAACATATAATTGTTTGTGTGGTATTAGCTTAAGCAGACTGTGTTTGTCTATTGTTGTGACTTAGATGAAGATCAGAACACATTTTATGACCAATTTATGCAGAAATCCAGGTAATTCCAAAGGGTTCACATACTTTTTCTTGCAACTGTATATTATTCTGAAATGGACCAATCTGCACAACGACTACTTTCACTGTCGCTACTTTAACTATATTTTGATGACAATACTTTTCTACTTTTACTTGAGGAACATTTTGAATGCAGGACTTTTACTGTAACAGAGTATTCCTACACTCTGGTACTTCTACTTTTACTCAAGTACAACATCTGAGTACTTCTACTTTTCTCAGTACAAGATCTGAGTACTTCTACTTGACTCAAGCACAAGATCTGAGTACTTCTACTTTTACTCAAGTACAAGATCTGAGTACTTCTACTTTTACTCAAGTACAAGATCTGAGTACTTCTACTTTTACTCAAGTACAAGATCTGAGTACTTCTACTTTTACTCAAGTTACAAGATCTGAGTACTTCTACTTTACTCAAGTTCAAGATCTGAGTACTTCTACTTTTACTCAAGTACAAGATCTGAGTACTTCTACTTTTACTCAAGTTCAAGATCTGAGTACTTCTACTTTTACTCAAGTACAAGATCTGAGTACTTCTACTTTACTCAAGTACAAGATCTGAGTACTTCTACTTTTATTCAAGTTCAAGATCTGAGTACTTCTACTTTTACTCAAGTTCAAGATCTGAGTACTTCTACTTTTACTCAAGTACAAGATCTGAGTACTTCTACTTTTACTCAAGTACAAGATCTGAGTACTTCTACTTTTACTCAAGTTCAAGATATGAGTACTTCTACTTTTACTCAAGTACAAGATCTGAGTACTTCTACTTTTACTCAAGTTCAAGATCTGAGTACTTCTACTTTTATTCAAGTTCAAGATCTGAGTACTTCTACTTTTACTCAAGTTCAAGATCTGAGTACTTCTACTTTTATTCAAGTACAAGATCTGAGTACTTCTACTTTTACTCAAGTACAAGATCTGAGTACTTCTACTTTTACTCAAGTTCAAGATATGAGTACTTCTACTTTTACTCAAGTACAAGATCTGAGTACTTCTACTTTTACTCAAGTTCAAGATATGAGTCCTTCTACTTTTACTCAAGTACAAGATCTGAGTACTTCTACTTTTACTCAAGTTCAAGATCTGAGTACTTCTACTTTTACTAAAGTACAAGATCTGAGTACTTCTACTTTTACTCAAGTTCAAGATATGAGTCCTTCTACTTTTACTCAAGTTCAAGATCTGAGTCCTTCTACTT